CTCCACGGCAACGGGGACGCGGAGCCCCGCGCGGCGGTGCGGGCAGAGCGTGAGGTTGGCCTTCGTCCTCGTCCTGCTCCGTGGGATCGATCGCTTTGGGGGTTGGGACCCCCCGACACACTCACACACACACACACACACACTCACACACACCCGGTTTGGGGTCCCCTCCCCTGTTTCTGTGGCTGTGGGTATGGATTGGGGTTGGGGGGCTAAGAGGGGTCCATCCGCACTCAGTGCCCCCCCCCGCCGCCCCCCCCGCAGCCCTCTCCCTGTGCCCCCCCTGCTATGAGCCTCGGCCGCCGCTTCCCCCCGAGCAGCTGCAAATGAAAATGGAGGATATGTCTGTGGCTGGCCTGGATAACAGCAAGCTGGAGGTGAGCGGCCCCACCAAACCTTGGGGGGGATCCCACGCTGTGCTCCCCCCTCCCCCCCTCTGTTCCAGCCCCATTTCTCACTGCCTCCCCCCAACCGTTTTGCTCTGCAGGCCATCGCGCATGAGATCTACGCAGAGCTGGTGGAGGATGCCTGCCTGGGGCTGTGCTTTGAAGTGCACCGTGCAGTCAAATGCGGCTACTTCTTCCTGGATGACACCGACCCCGACAGCATGAAGGACTTTGGTGAGGGGGAAAGGGTGGGGGGAGACAACAGGACAAATCTCTGGGGTGGGACGTAGAGCTGGGCTGATTTCTCTGCCCCCCCTCTACCCTTCCTGACCCACAGAGATCGTGGACCAGCCGGGGGTGGACATCTTTGGGCAGGTGTACAACCAATGGAAGAACAAGGAGTGTGTCTGCCCCAACTGCAGCCGCAGCATCGCCGCCTCCCGCTTCGCCCCCCACCTGGAGAAGTGCCTGGGGATGGGGCGCAACAGCAGCCGAATCGCCAACCGCAGGTGAGACCCCTCCCCACCCCCAGCCCCCCAACCCGTGGGGGAAACTGAGGCACGGGCAGGGAGTTTGGTTGCGCTCTGTGCTGCCCCATCCCTCACTGTGCTGGGGATGGGAGCGGAAAGAGAGCGCTGAGATCCCCAAATCCAAGCCCAGCCCACCCCTGCTGTGCCCACCCACCACATCCCTCAGTGCTGCAGTCCTCCAAGGACACCCCCAGGGATAATGACCCCTCTGCTTCCTGGGCTGCCTGTACCAATCTGTCTTTGGAGAAGGAATTTCTCCTGCTGCCCAGCTGGGTGGAAGCAGAGTCTGGGGAGGGGGGGGATGGTGTGACAATGGGGACCTGATGCCACCCACCCTCCTCCCCTGGGCAGGATTGCGAGCAGCAACAACATGAACAAGTCAGAGAGTGACCAGGAGGACAACGACGACATCAATGACAACGACTGGTCCTATGGCTCCGAGAAGAAAGGTGGGACAGGACGGGGTGGGGGCACATGTGGTGGTGTTGATGGTGCCCCATCCCTGTGTGCTGGGGGACGACGACACACGGATGCTGCCCTGGCAGTGTTGGATGGTGTGTGGCATTTTGGGTTAAGTTTTGCCAGAAGAAGTAAAAACCCCTCTTTCTCCCTGCAGCAAAGAAGAGGAAATCGGATAAGGTGAGAGGGCCTGAGGGGTTTTGGGGGGAGCTTTGGGGGTGCTCTTGGTGCCCCCTTGCCCACCTGAGGGCCAGGCGGGGGCTGTGGGGCTGCCCCCCAACTTCTCTACTCTCTTTGCAGAACCCCAACTCGCCCCGCAGGTCCAAGTCCCTGAAACACAAGAATGGTGAGGGGAGGAGGGGCTTTGGAAGGAGAGAGGAGGGGCCTCGTGGGTTGTAGGGGGGGGGTTGGGCGAGTGGGTGGGGCTGTGAAGTGGGAGGGGGGGTGGGAGGGGCTGTGAAGTGGGAGGGGCTGTGATGGGAAGCGTGGGGGCACTGACTTCACACCCCTCCTTTTTACAGGCGAGCTCAGCGGGAACCCCGACCCCTTCAAGGTGAGGAAACCCTGTCCCCTCCTGTCCCCCTCCCCCCATCCCAGGGCAAGGCTCGTGTCACTGGGGGGGCTCTGACAGCACTCCCTGTCCCCTGCAGTACAGCAACTCGGCAGGAATCAGCTATGAGACGCTGGGCCCAGAGGAGCTGCGGACGCTGCTGACCACGGTGAGGGGGAGCACGGGGTGTCCTGGGGGTGGGGAAGTGCCCTGGGAGGGGGGGGGGGGGGGGCGGGGGGGGGGGGGGGGGGGGGGGGGGGGGGGGGGGGGGGGGGGGGGGGGGGGGGGGGGGGGGGGGGGAGCTGTGAACTGGGTGATGGGGACGTGCACCTCTATGCCCAGGGGACATCCCCAGGGGTTGCTGTGGTGTGGGTGGCACACTGGGGATAGGGGGTGAGGGGGGGGACACGCAGTGCAGCTCTGTGTGCCCGGGATCAAAGCTCACCCAGCTCTTCTCTCCCCAGCAATGCGGGGTCATCTCTGAACACACCAAGAAGATGTGCACCAGGTGAGTGCTCCACACCTCCCTGCTTAGTGAGGGGGGCTCTGTGGGCCCTCTGCAGGCTGGCTGGAGCTGTGGAGTGGGGGGAGTGCAGCTGAGCACCTCACTCAGCCCCATGCCCACCCCCCAGGTCCCTGCGGTGCCCACAGCACACGGATGAGCAGAGGAGGTCCGTCCGGATTTACCTCCTTGGTCCTTCAGCGTAAGTGAGGATCCTGGGTGATGGGAGCCTGTCTGGGGGAGGGGCTTTTTTCCCCCCAGCCCTGGGGACACGGTGCTGCCGTGCAGGTCCCTGCCTGAGGCTGAGAGCAGCGTGGAGAACGACGGCTTTGACGTGGCTGAGAGCCAGGCCATCATGAGCCGGCTGCAGTGGGACGGCGCCTCTGACATCTCCCCCTCGGATTCGGCCTCTTCCAAAGCCAGTGAGTGCTGGGGGTGGGGGGCAGAATGGGGGGCGGCGGGGGGCGCAACGCTGAGCCTAAAGGACCCCCCTCCCACACCAGCAGTGCCCAACTCCCCCCTCCCACCCCCACGCAGGTACCAACAACTCCGAGTCCCGGAAGACCAAGAAGAAGAAGCCCCACCTGGGGTTGGTGAGTGGCACCCCGGGGTTGGGCTCCAGCAAGAAGAAGAAGCCCAAACCCCCCGCCCCCCACACCCCCAGCATCTACGATGACATCAACTGAGCACCACGGGGTGGATGGACAGACAGACACAGACAGATGGACGTGGGGTACCCAGGGCTGGAGGATACAGGACTCAGCCGTTGCTGGGGGGTGGGGTTGCAGTTGGGAGCCCCTGTTTGTGCCCCCACCTCACCCACCGTCCTCCCCATCCCGGTGCCTCTATTTATTCTGTGACGTTTTTGTATGGGGGGGGTCCCATAAGTGCCCCCCTCCCCTCCCCTTCACACTGCTCCCCCCAGTCCTGCTACAGTCCCCCCTGCATTCCCCCCTCCTGAGCACCCCGTATCAGTGGGGTGGGGGGCAGTGGGTCCATGGGGGGGGGCACAGAATTCCTTCTGTTGCTCCGGGCTGGTGCTGTGGGGTCAGGCTCAGGATGGGGAGTACGGTGGGGAAGGGGGGGGGATGTTTTCTGTGGGACCTCCCCCTCCTGAAATCTGCTGTCCCCAGTTGGGGCAAGGGGTGGGGGGCTGTGCATGCTGTGTGCGTGGGGCAACTGCTTTGTGTCTGGGGAGGGGGCAACTGTGGCTGTACCCCCCCCTACTCCCAGCTGGTCTCTTTTGGAGGGAGGGGAGGACCCTGATCTGCCAAGGCCACGTGCTGCCCTCTCCTGGAGGGGGGGGGG